CTTCTTACCCTGCTGATCTGTGGGGAGATCCAGCATAGATTTTCTTGTGTCATTGCAGATTGAGGATTGGAGGTAGAATGAATACCTCTCATGAGAGTTATAACTAGCCCTTAGTTGCATAAGGCTTGCATCCCTTCTCACTGGATACGAGAAACAAAGCAACAAGAAAAGCCTCATCTAGGCTGCAGCAAATAAGGATCATCCTCCATTAGGCTGGTCCAGAATCTGCAATGGTCACTTTAACTTATCCTTTAGCTGAACAGGAACTTGAACCTCTGGGCACTTCTGTCTGCTGACTCCTTATTTATCAACATGCACAACTCCAAGAGTGGGCATTAAGTTGCAACATTTATGTCCTGATGTTTCAAAGTCTAATCTAAATTTACCTTTGGGTCATTCCTCCTAGCTCTGTCACACTTGCTAGACCACAGCCCTTCAGACACCTGGTGCCTTACCTTTCTTTCCTTGTTCTTCACCCTTGACCTCGGCACACAGACAGTTTTCAGTAACAGCTGTGCCACTTGGAGCTCTCGATTCTTGCATTGCGCTCATTATGGGGAGCCTGACTATGGGTCAAGTGCCACTGCATGATTAGTGTGTGCTGACTTAAGAAAGGACCTTGGATATGGGCAGCCTAAAGCTTCCTAAGATCTGCATTTCTTATTGCTTAAAGTTGCATTTAAACAGAGTATTACAGCTTTTTTCTTTCTGTGGGAATGACTTGCAGAGGGAGGGTTTTGGAAATGTGGTTATGTTTTGCTTTCATGAAGTCCAGAAACTTTGTGTTACTGTGGCTGTAGCTTTCTTAGTCTGCTGACTTACTGGCCTGTTGACAGTACAGCTGGAGGTGGAGTGTCTGTCTTATCAGATGCAGCTGAAAGCAATAAGCTTACAGTCAGGAGTGGTATGGAAGGGACGGGGAGGGCTTATTGCCAAACAATAGTGACTTGGGTCACACACAGGCGATCCAGGTAACATCTTGGTAATGTGCCCTGGGGGTTCATTGGCAGAAAGCACCAGAGCCTTGCATGTATATGGACAAGTCTATGTGGAAAGCATTGCCTCTGTCCTGAGGCCCTGTGTCCTTGTTCCATTGACAGCTGTGTGTTGGGAAGGCATGCCAGAGTCATGATAAGCCACATCAGCAGTGTTCAACTGCACGAGACCACATCCTAGGCAAAAAGCAAGGTGGAAAGACTTTCTGGTTTGCACTGACTTCAGAGCAGAAGCTAGAGTGCCCCAAACAGTGTAGACTCCTGGGATTCACAGTCATTATTTGGCAAGGCTTGCTCATCTTGCTCTGGCTGATCTTCAGTCTGACTGTTGTTTTCCTTTAGCTGCTGCTTTGGTTGAGGGGGCTTGTGTGTGGTAACATTACAAATGAAATCGTCTCATTGGTCACCCCAGGTTGTGCTTGGGCGGTTTCTAGGTTGATTTAAGAGTCGTACTGTTTCATTTGAACACTTGTATCATTTATCTTTATTCTCTTTTTGCTGGTTAAAATCAATGGGCACAAGCACTGGCATTAAGAGGCAGCACTTCTCAAGCGGGAGCTGTGGGAATACCCATCCATGCATCCTCTGGGTGTGTAGTAAGCCGTGTTCATCTCTCGGATGAGTAGGCCAGCCTAACCTCTACCAGCCTTGTCGATTCCAAGCCTACTAGGGTGCACCCTGGTCCTGGGGCCCCCAACATGGCTTTATGACCATTTAGCACATGCAGCCTGTCTTACCAGCAAGCTTCAGCAGTGAATCCAATCATGCGGGTAACAGTACTGCTGTCGCAGCTAGCAGAACATCATAGTGGAGTGATTGCCGGCAGCCTGATTTCTACCAGCCAGCTAAACCTGCTGGTGGCCCCGACAGCCAAGGAGGCCCTAGAGAAATATGGCAGTGCTATGTTCAGCTCGAACACTGCAGTTAAGTCCAAACCAACCTGCTCCCAAAAGCCTGTGACTTTTTTTTGTGGCTGTTTTAAGAGCTTATCTTTAGTCCTGGATGTTCAATTGGTACCAACCTTTGAGTTCTTCATTTAAGAAAGCACAAACTTTCAAGAGAAGCCCTTTATTTTGCCCCCCACCCCTTCCTTCTCTCGAGCATCTCCAAGCTGGGGCGGGGGGGAGGGGAGAGGGTTATGTGAACACCTCAGGAAGCCAGACCTGTACTGTGTGCTCTTTGACTTCTGCCATTGCAGCTGCCTTAGTGGAGTGGGTCAAGTATCTGTTTTGGTTTTGGAGAACTGTGCTGTTCAACCAAAATGTAAAATTGGCAGATTTTTTTTTTTGTTTTGTTCCAAATCCTTTGTGACAACAATCACTTCCACATTCCGGAACCTTTGAACTTTACATGTTACCCCAAAAATGTTTCACTTGTGTACTGGGACACCTCTCAGCTGCCAAAGTCTGCATCAGGCTCTCCGGAGCAGACAGCTGCAGAGGAGCAGATTTGCAACTAGCAATGCAATTTTTCTATATCTGCTGAGGTTTACCTTTAAAAAAAAATTATATATATATATATATATATATATATATATAAAATATATAGAAACAGTGTCCTTGATTTTATTTTTTTCTTCTTGTGTTTAATTTTTTTGGTCTTTTATTCTGTGTGGTGTTGAACGGGGGTCATTGCAAAACAAAATGTAATTTTGTTATCTTTGATTCAGTGGAATTTCTTTACTTAAAAAAATAAAAATAAAGGACTTTGAGTTCATCTCTGGTGGTGGTAGGTGTATATACTGTCTATCCTACCTGCATGCATTTCCTTTGTTATAAGACCCTAAGCAGGACTAACTTAGTGGAGAAAGACTAAGGGCTTCTGTGGCATGGGAATGTGGTGTATCTTGATAAAAACAACATCCATCTCCCAGTTGGAACTCGTAGGAAATCCACTGTCAGATAATAATGAAATGTCGAGCGCGAGAGCCGCATGCTTTGGAGGGTGTTAAAATTGTGCAGGTCTTGCATAGGGGCATTTTGGAAGGTTTTCAAGGTGAGCATCTGGTTCTGATGCCAATAGTAGTCTGAGGGGTTCACTTCAAGACAAACACACAGCTAACTGCTTCTCCCTTTCCTCCAAGCACAGCCTCTTAGGTGTCATTCATAGATTCATAGATGTTAGGGTCGGAAGGGACCTCAATAGATCATCGAGTCCGACCCCCTGCATAGGCAGGAAAGAGTCTGTGAAGAAGTTCTTCCTAGTGTCCAGTCTAAATCTGCTCTCTGCTAGCTTGTGGCCATTATTTCTTGTAACCCCCGGGGGTGCTTTGGTGAATAAATACTCACCAATTCCCTTCTGTGCCCCCATGATGAACTTATAGGCAGCCACAAGGTCGCCTCTCAACCTTCTCTTGCGGAGGCTGAATAGATCCAGTTTCTCTAGTCTCTCCTCGCAAGGCTTGGTCTGTAGGCCCTTAACCATATGAGTGGCCCTTCTCTGGACCCTCTCCAGGTTATCCGCATCCCTCTTGAAGTGAGGCGCCCAGAATTGCACGCAGTACTCCAACTGCGGTCTGACCAGCGCCCGATAGAGGGGAAGTATCACCTCCTTGGACCTATTCGTCATGCATCTGCTGATGCACGATAAAGTGCCATTGGCTTTTCTGATGGCTTCGTCACACTGCCGACTC